GTTATAACCGTTAATGTAAATGGTCTCAATGCACCAAATAAAAGAAACAGACTGGCAGAATGGATCAAGAAACAGAACCCAACCATATGCTCTCTACAAGAAACTCATCTAACCCAAAAGGATACTCACAGACTCAAAGTCAAAGGATGGAAAACAATACTTCATGCAACAGGAACTCAAAAAAAAAAGCGGGGGTAGCTATTCTGTTTGCAGATAACCTGAATTTCAAACCAATAATGATCAGAAGGGATAAAGAAGGACACTACATACGGGTTAGGGGAAAACTTCAAGAGGAAGAGATAACTATCTTAAATATATATGCACCAAACTCCAGAGCACCATGTTATATAAAACAAGTACTAACAGAAATGAGAAACCAAATTAGCAGTAACACAATTCTAACAAGAGATCTTAACACACCATTGACACCAATGGACAGATCAACCAGACAGAAAATCAACAAAGAAATAAAAGAACTGACTCGCACCTGTGAACAAATGGACACATACAGAGTATATCACCCAACAACAACAGAATACACATTCTTCTCAGGAGTACATGGGTCCTTCTCTAAAATAGACAATATATTAATTCACAGAACATATTTAAATAAATACAAAAGGGTCAAAATTATCCCTTGCATGCTATCAGACCATAGTGCTGTGAAATTAGAAATTAATGATAAAAGATACGGCAAAAATCCCCAAAACACATGGAAACTGAATAACACACTCTCGAATAATCAGTGGTCACCAAGAAAATTAAAGAAGAAATTTAAAAATACCTACAAACAAATGAAAACACAAATACAACTTACCGGAATCTGTGGGATGCAATGAAAGCTGTCCTCAGACGAAAATTTATTGCACTGAGTTCCCACATCAGGAAAACAGAGCAAATACAAATAAATAACCCTGATGCTACACTTCAAACATCTACAAAAAGAAGATCAAGTCAAGCCCAAAGCCAAAAGAAAAGAAGAAATTATAAAAATCAGAGCAGAAATCAATGCAATAGAGACCAAAAAAACAAAAAATGAACGAATCAAAGAGCTGATTCTTTGAAAGAATAAATAAAATCAACAAGCCCCTAGCCAACCTTATTTAAAAAAGAGAAGAAAAAGCTCATATTGATGCAATAAGGAGTGAAAGAGATGACATTACTACAGACCCTATAAAAATACAGAAGTTCATCAACACTTATTTGGAAACCTCTACTCTCAAAGGTTTGATAACACAGAGGAAATGGACAGATTCATAGAAGCATACGAAGTATCAAAGCTAGGTCATGAAGATGTAAAACTATTGAATAACCCAATTTCTATTAATGAAATTGAAAACGTAATTAAATCTTTACCTACAAAGAAGAGCCCAGGCCCAGACAGATACACTGCAGAATTTTACAAGAAATACAAAGATGACCTAATGCCAACACTCCTCAAACTCTTCAATGAAATTGAAAGGGAAGCAATCCTTCCTAAATCATTCCTAGAAGCAATATTACTCTAGTACCAAAACCAGAGAAGCACCCAACTGAAAAAGAGAACTGCAGACCAATCTCCCTAATGAACACAGATGAAAAAATCCTCAATAAAATATTAGTAAACAGGATGCAGCAAATCATCAAGAAGATCATACACCAGACCAAGTGGGATTCATCCCAGGCATGCAGGGATGGTTCAACATACATAAATCAATAAATGTAATCCACCATATCAATAAAACCAAAAGTAAGAGTCACATGATCATTTCTATAGATGCAGAAAAAGCCTTTGATAAGGTCCAACATTCATTAATGATTAGAACCTTACAGCAAATTGGAATAGATAGTCTTTACCTCAATATAATTAAGGCCATCTATGACAAACCAACAGCCAATATCATACTAAATGGCCAAAATCTGAAGGCCTTTACTTTAAAATCAGGCACAAGACAAGGATGTCCCTTATCACCACTCCTATTTAATATAATACTGGAAATACTGGCCAGAGCCAATTAGACAAGAGAGATAAATAAAAGGCATAAAGATAGGAAAAGAAGAAGTTAAATTATCATTATTTGCAGATGACATTATACTTTATATAGAAGATCCCCAAAATTCCATTGAAAGACTCCTAGATATAATAAATAAATTCAGCAATGTAGCTGGATACAGAATCAATACTCAAAAATCAATAGCATTCCTATACACTAACAACTAAGTCTCAGAGACAGAAATAAGAGAGGCAACACCCTTCACACTAGCAACCAAAAAAATGAAATATTTAGGAATTACTCTCACAAAAGAAGTGAAAGACCTATATAGGGAAAATTATAATACACTGAAAAATGAAATTGAAGATGATCTCAGAAAATAGAAAAACATCCCTTGCTCATGAATAGGAAGAATAAATATTGTGAAAATGGCCATTCTCCCAAAACTTTTATACAGATTCAATGCAATCCCAATAAAAATACCATCAACATACCTCATAGAACTCGAGAAATCACTCCTAAAATTCATCTGGAACTAGAAGAGACCTAGAATAGCAAAGACAGTTCTAAGCCACAAAGGCAAGGCAGGAGGCATCACAATCCCTGACTTGAAGTTATACTACAAAGCAACTGTAGTAAAATCAACATGGTACTGGAATAAAAACAGAGCCGAAGATCAGTGGAATAGATTAGAAGATACAACTACAACTACAAACACACTCAACCACCTTATCTTTGATAAAGAGGCCAAACATGTTCACTGGAAGAACGACAGTCTCTTTAATAAATGGTGTTGGAAAAACTGGCTCTCCATATGCCAAAATCTAAAACTAGACCCATGCCTATCATCGTGTACTAAAATAAAATCTAAATGGATCAAAGATCTGAATATTAAAACAGAAATCTATGGGAAGAAATCTATTGGAAGACAAATTGGGTAAAAACCTTGAAGACATAGGGGTAGGTAGAGAATTCCCGAACAGGAATCAAATCTCACGGGAAATCAGTAACCGGGATCACCTCTTATTAAAAAGTTTCTGCATGTCAAAAGAGATCTCCAGCATAGTGAAAAGAAAACCCACAAACTGGGAAAAAATCTTAGTGAACTGTTCCTCAGACAAACGACTTCTGTCTAAAACATACAAAAATTAAAAAATCAGACCCCCAAAATTCAAGGATCCAATCCAAATATGGGCATCTGAGATGAATACACACTTCTCAAATGAATAAATACAAATATCAAATAAATACATGAAAAAATGTTCATCATCATTACTCATTATAGAAATGCAAATTAAAATCACACTGAGATTCCATCTCACTTCTGAAAGCATGGCCAGGATCAAGAAAAACACCAACAACAAATGCTGGAGAGGCTGTGGGGGAAAAGGAACTCTCCTGCACAATTGGTGGGAGTGTAGACTGGTGCAACCATTGTGGAGGTCAGTCTGGAGATTTGTCAAAAAGCTAGGATTGGAAGTCCCATTTGTTCCAGCTATTCCATTTCTAGGCATATTCCCAGAAGAACTGAAAGCATCGGACCACAGTGATATATGTGCACCCAGGTTTATAGAAGCACAATTTGAAATCGCCAGATCTTGGAAACAACCCAAGTGTCCATCAACTGAGAAATGGATAAAAAAGATGTGGTATTTTTATACAATGGAGCAGTACTCAGCAATAAAGAATGATCACATTGAGATGTTTATAAAGAAATGGACGCAGCTTGAGACCATCCTCACAAGCGAAATAAGTCAAACTCACATATATATAAATACCGAATAGTTTCCCTAGTAAGAAATGGTAAAAATACATAAAAGTATGTGGTAATCATGATTCCCCATTATATTACTTTGAAGCCTTATAATTTTTTCATTCATTAGTTGGAATGGTTTTATTCTGGATTGTTTGATTTTATTGTCCGTGATGTCAAAACAGCTATTCTGAAGAAAACAAGACACTATAATAGCTAATGCTGATTTAATATCATCTCGTTTTGAAGTCCCACCAAGCTTTCGTTCTTCTGTCTCCATCTGTTTTATCATGTTGTATCTTATTGGATTTTATCATATATATATGATAGTATAAACAAATGTTTTATGGACAAGGAGATAATATAATAACCATTGTTCATTTTCAGTTAGTTGGTTCTGAATACCCTGTAACACTTTCCATTCTCTTGAATGGTTTTACATTGTCTTGTTACATTTGATGCTATAGTATATGAAGGTATACTCAAGTATTTCAAGGAAAGAGACACTATGGTAACTACTGTTACGTCTGGTTGTCTTGTGGTAAAACACTATGTTGCTTAAATCGTTCTGTTCTGACTCGTGTTGTTATGTCCTCTTTTATCTTAATCTTTTTTAAATAAAAAATTTTTAAAAAGCAAAGATGTCACTATAAAAAAAGGATAAGGAAATTAACAGTGTTGTAGGCAGTTTCAGTGCTCTAACAAATGATGTGTACAAACAGGCCAAAATTTTTTCAGATATAATTTATTTATACATCATCAATGGCATAACATTCCATTTATAAAGCTCAGTAAAATTGGAGAGTCACAAAACAGTACTTACTATATGATACAATCATTTGACCAGAACTTATACTTTGACTTCACTCCTCTGGTCATTTCATATTAACATGAAGTGTAATGTGCTTATGGCATTTTGAATCTATTACTCATTCACAGGCCTACTCCGCCTGAAAGTGACAACTGATATGTCTCTCTTTATGATTTCAAAAAGCTCTTTTGTCACTATTGTGCTTATGAACTAATGAACAGTGAAGAATGTCCCATACTTTTCTGAATATAAAGAATAAGCATCTCTATAAAACTGACCTAAAAGTGGAAATCCTGGGCAAAAATGTGGATGCACTAATGTTTTGGATAAAATTTACCAAACTGTGGTCTTGATCCCCACAAGAACTTTGGCAGTGAAACACCAGGCTCATGCTCACACATTTGATGCCATTTGGGGAGGGGCACAGCAGAAGGACAGAGTTCTGTGTCATTCAAGTCTTCGGTGCATTGTGTCAGCTAAGGGCTGCAGTCAGCAGGCTGATAGTCTGACCACAAATCCCTATGCACCTCAGCTACTTTGACTCTATTCTGCTTTATACATGGGATTGCAGAACTAAGATTCATTTCAAATTTAGTTACAGAAAAAATCAGTAAAACAGTTCCTGTGTGTTTTGCTGTCCTCTTGACTGTGACAACATGTACCCAGCTGTTCATCTCTGTGAATCAGCACAAATGGGCTCAGCATGGCATAACCAAGGGTCACATATTCTTGAATATTTAACACCACAGAATCAATATTGAGAGAGGAGCTAAACGACATGGAAAAAGCACAATCTGCCCAATAAAAGACAAGAAAACAGAGCATCAGAAAGAGAACGCTTTGAGCAGCTCTGATCTCAGGGGGAGTTTTGTAGAGGAACTTGGAGCTCTGCAGGTGGAGAACACGGTGGTGGTGCCTGCGGAGAAGAAACACCAGGTAGCCACTGGACCCACCCATGATGACCAGAAACACAGCATCCCGTAGAACCATCAGAATGAGAAATGTCCATCTTATTATCCATCCTTCAGGTAGAAAATAGCAATACTTGTCACCTTTAGTAGTTTGTGATATGTTCACACTGTTGATGCTTATGATAGAAAGTGGTAAGTTCATGCTTATTAAGGAATTGAGAATCCAAAACCGGATGAATATGGAAAGGATGTGCCTTGGTGACTTCAGCTTGAGCCTCCTCCACATGGAGTCTGTGGGACTCATGGTGACGGCTTGTGTCACTGTGAGGAGGCTGCTGGTGCAGATGGAGAGGCCCCGGGCCACCCGCTCCAGGTAAACAACAATCTTGCAGCCTGTGTCATGGAGGAAGAGTCCCTGCCCAAAAGCTGATATTGTCTTAGGAATCCCTTTTGCAAAAAGTATGATGATATTTGTAAAAGCCAAGTGAATGAGAATAAGTTGTACAGATTTCATCTCGGTGCCTCCAAGGAGGAGAACATAATTCACAAACACAGTAACATTCCCCAGAATGCCAAGCACAGTTGGAGAGAGGAAGATGATTCCCTTGACAAGGTTTAAAGCCATTTCTTATTCATATACAGGACAACCTGGGGCCAATAAAGCATCAGTAATGCTTATCTATATCTGCAAAAACTGCTTCTTTCTCTAGCAGTTTTCTGAAGTACAAAGGACAGTCACAATGTCTTTAATGATACACATCTTTGGGACATGATTTCCTTTTATATGGCATTCTCTGTGGTTGATTCTATGTACTCTCAAATTCATCTTAAGGATCAGTATTCAAATGTCTAAATTTCAATGGAGACATTATTTTTTAGTTACCAGCAAAACCAATGTACTTGTGAAAAGCACTATATATCTCACCAGTGTTAAATATCAGCATGTATGCCACCCCTCCCTCACCCGAAATTCCTGTAGCGGGTGGGCAGTACCATACAGGAGCCCTTGAACTATCATCCAAGAAAGAGTGAGGAGAGTTCTGAGTTCCCCGTGAGTGACCTCAAGGACCTCTGTGTGAAGCCCAGATCCATTCTGGATGTGTTGATGTTTACTAAGGTAGACTAGAAGATGGGGAATAATTGGGCATCGCCTGTGCCATGCGACGAGAGCAGCTTATGAATTAGGCTCCTCAATAATGGCTGAATGCAGCACAATGTTTTGGGGAGTCATAGCTCTGGAAACAACACTCAAAGGCAGAGTTGCAATAGAATTTCCCAGCTACTGCAAGACCTTGGGAGAAACAATAATTTGCAGGAGGCATGAACTGGGTGCTTTTTCCCACCAGATAACAATGTGCTGCATTAGTCTTTATCATTCAAAAGTTTTCATGCCTTAGGCTTGGGTGGCATTGGACTCTTTTACATATAAATGTTCCAATCTCATTTCTCACAGAAGCAGTTTGTGTCAAACTAGGGAAAGCTTCTCTAAAATGAAAGAACCCAATATCTCTGATCTAATTCCTGGGTTTCTTGTGGGCTACATAATGAATCTGGAATACATTCAGGCAAGCAGCCCTCTCTGGTTTTCTAGTGAGTATTAAGGAATTCCCTTTGAATTCACTGTCCTGCAGGTCCATGTCAGCATGAACTGTGTAAACACAGTTTGTACTAAGGTTTGGCAACAAAGAGCATTGTGACTCTGTGGGTACTGGTTATGTGCTTTCAAACATCCTTTTCCTAATACACAATTGCCTGCATCAGTGTATTAAGGAAAGATACACAACCCTGAATGTCTAGCACAATGAGCTGTGCTACAAGTTTTCTTAACAAGCAGAGGAGTATTAATTAATGAGCGTCAAATACAAACTGATTGAATATTTAGTTAGAGACTCGAGCCTGCTAAAATGATTATACTCAAAATGCCTCAAAGCCATGATATACTCACCAGTTCTCTTCTGGGCTCATCAAATAATTTCCTTGGTCTTTTTTTTCCTTAGTCCAAGGAATTCCCACTTATTTCCAGTCCTGTCTTTGCCTTTCCAAATTACAAAACTCTGAATCAAATTTGGGATCTATCCCTGAGACAATCTCAGCACTCACTTATTGTGTTCCTGAGAAAACAAATTGAAAAATGTCAGAGGAGCCTCTCTCTAGGTGACTTGTGAACCAGTACCACAAAGGATGATAATAAACAGACTTTCCATTCAGGTTGATGCTCAGTACCCTGTCTGGATCGAAAGCCCAAAGCGTAGGCAGGGAAGGGCACCCACTCTGAGCTCAGATTTCTCAACACAAACAATGAGACTATTGCTATGACTTCCAAACACTGCAGAAAATTAAAATGAGTTACCCTAGTTTGTACTGAGTCACAACCTGCCAAATTCATAGGAATTCTCAAGGAATAACTATAATTTATACCTTTAATAAAGGTTAAAACCTTTAATAAAACCACATCAACAGTCACATAATACGTGTTAGTATACATAAATTTTAAGAAAATGTGTCCAAAAAAACCTTCATATTAAACACAAATGTTTGTAAAGAGTTATCAGTGTAATAAAAAAGAGAAAGCCTGTCTACTTTAGAATTACACCAATGCATCTAAAATGAGGGAAACAAATTTTATGACAGCTAGTGATACTGACAAGTTAGAATACTCTTAAAATCGAAGGCTGAAGAAAACAGAGGCTTCCTCAGCAACATAAAAAGTCCCTCACTGATCCTAACTTCTGGAAGAATGCGAGGTGAGGGCCACCCCAAGGCCACCCAGACACTCTGGTGACGCCTTGCTGCTCCAGCTTTTCTTGAGTCACAGCTCCCGGAACCCAGCGCCTAAAACTTTTGGCCTATTAAAAATCAAAAAAAGAGTTAATGTCCTGACTCTGAGACCTTTCACCAGCTCCCTTGCTTCATGAAAAAGAGGTTAAGATTTCATCTTCCGAGGGCAATGTACCTGGCACAGGTGAGTAAAGGAGGAGGGCTCAGGCCTACTCTCCTGGCAGCTGGGGTCACCTGAGCTCTGAGCTGGTCCACCTGGCAAGGTGCAGCATCCCAAGTCATATTTGTACCTTTAGGATTGCAGAGCTCTGGGCTGCCAGCAAATGACAAATGTCAGAGTTGTGCCCTGTTGGGGAGAAGGAAACTCTCTGCTGAACCTCATTTCCCTGAGGTACAACTTTCCTTCTCCTTCCACAATTACTGCATTTGTTTGGCTCAGAAGTTGTCTTGGGCTTAATTGCTTTAATAGAAGAAAACAAGAACAAGCAATCAGCAAAGTTTCCCTGTCTAGAGTTTACAACTTCTGGAGACGTCTCTGCACAGTTCCAAGCTGTCATTCAGAGCAGGGACAACTCCTGAGGCACAGAATTAATCCCTGCACTTTGGAAGCAATCACTAAGCAAACTTTAGTGCTATCAGACAAAGTGCTGTAACAGCAAAGGACACTGAATCATCAGGCCACCATGCAAGCAAGTGTAATCCTGAGGGGCAGAGGAAGGAAAATCACGGAGAAGTATCGGGAACCACCTAGCAGTACAGGCTCAGCTGATCAAAGAGTTCCCAGAGTTGTTCAGCCATCAAAGGAGTCCGGTGACCTCTGTGAAAGCTTACTTCCCTGATGCACTTAATAACCAGCTGAGCGAGTTTGTGGGAAGCTGGGCTTCAGCAGGAATACAGCAGGGTGGTTCAGAGTATAGGGCGTTCTATAGTAATCCGCGGGTATAAAGGTATACGGCTGCCAAAAGTTACTCAGATTTCACTTTTCTTTTTGTTTTTATAAAAATACGTCTACTATAGGACAGCCTTAATCTGGCTCATGAGCTCCTGGAAGATTTGCAAAACACTCATCTTCAAGGCTTCCTTTCTCCCACTGCTGTCATGTGTCATTTATCTTCCCGTTTGTGCAACTACCGATCTGTGTCCATTCTGACTAGAGAGAAAAACCAGCAGGAGGAAGAAACACATGCCAGAAAAGCAAATCTGTGTCAGAACTTTCAAATTAATATTTGCACACTTTTTTATTGGTACAGTGATCCATTATTGTCACTTGTACTTGACAGGTGGCACTTGACAGATGTTTCCTGCCTCAACACAATCTGGCTTCTCTAAATTAGAAAAACAAAGTAGACAGTAGTTAGTCAGCAAGCTGTGGAGGGCTGGGCTCCTCTCTGGGGGGGACCTGGGTGTCGGGGCCTGGAGAGGCAGGGCCTGCAGAAGGAACACTTCAAGTCATAGTGAAGGAGACACTGACACATTTTACCACCTCTAAGTACGGGTGTTTGCGTCCAAACTCTTTATATTTGAGAAATATTCAATAGACCTGATTTGAAGTGGTCCTTTAGTGAAATCCTGGATAAAATTCCATGTTTGACAGCGTACCATGGATCAAGCTGAGGGACCAAGGGCTTGGGCATGTGGTGAAGGCCTGGCCCCTAGTTCATTATGTGATTAACAATCAGGCAGTAAAGTTAGTCACACACATACACTGTGGTGCTTTGTTTTGTTTCATTTTATTTTGTTTTGTTTTTTAGAAATCAGTCCAAAAAAGTAATAAGAACTGTGGGAGTAATAAAACCCAAAATGTGTAAATGTTATTGTAAAAAAGAGAGGAAAAGAAAGTGCTCTAAAGGACACAACTGCAAGTGTGTTTAGGTGTGCAAGATAGATGACCATATTACTAAGTTTTGATGGATCATTGAACACAACTGTTTGGAGTCTCACTGTTTGAATGTCCACTTTGCAGGCTTTAAGTTTGTAACTTGAACAACTATTTCTAAGATGACAATATGTAATCTATTAACTAGTGAGTTCTTACTGCTTATTTTTTTTTTGAAATATTGTATTACTTGTACCCTTTTACTATTTTGGGTTTTTTTCCCTTTAAATAAAAAATTTTTAAAGATATTTATAGTTCTTTTTATTTTAAGCCTTTATTTTTTTTAATTTTTATTTATTTATCAGTATCGAGGATCGAACTCATGACCACCTGCTTGCATAGCAGGTGCTTATGCCACTGAGCTAAATCCCCAGCCCCCATAAAGTTTAAAAAAAAAAGAAATCAATCCTATCGTTGCAGTCATATCTACGGAAAAAAGTGCTTACCATTCAAAATGTGCACCTCCATCTTGCCTGTGATTTCAGTGACCACATACAAGGGAGATGCCTACTGCGCTGAAACCCGGGTGAATGAGCTGGGGTGCATCCAGCATGACGGGCTGCACAGCTTGCAGAAGGGTGAGATGTGCTTAATGAGCCTGTGCTTGTTTTCCCTAAGTAGCAAATGCAGACACAGGAACACGTCTGCATATACAGTTTGGATGAAGGAAAAATGAATGACATTTCTAAAAGAGAAAACACGCAGGTGGTATTGTATGACCTGAATTGCAAATAGCAAAAGTAGGGAAGACATTTTTTTACTGAATAGGTTTTCAGATTTAAAAAAAATATTTTAAAGAATAACTGAGGGAAACTAAAGGATTTTAACATAAAAGTATAGAGTGCATCAGCAAATCACAATTAGATCTTCCAATAAACTGCACAAGCAGGCCATGTGGGACCCAGGAAGAGAGAAGCCAGAAGGTGCCCCTGCACAGCTACCAGGGCGGGCTGGAAACAAAACCACTTCCC